TTGTTTAAAAATCAAGATCTAATGGTTAAAAAGCTCAAAGCATCTCATAAGAAGCCCCAAATAAGGAGTCAAAGGTAGCACATATACAAAGAGTCAAAGTCCAAAAAAAAAAAATGACCCATATGCATAAGAATCAAACCCACTGGCCCTAAATAAAATACACAAAAGCATAGTAGCTGACAGAAAAAAAAAAGTAAAGAATAGCTCCAAATTACATAAAACTCTAAAAATAAAGGGTTTTTTTTTTTATTTTTTTTTTTTTTATCACAAATCGTCATTGAAATTGACCCTCACCATCAAGATGGTCCTTAAAATTGAAAATCAATCAATGTAGTCCTTGAAAATAGGTGTTGCAAATCAAGGTTGTCATTCTGTTACAATTTTGTTAAAAATTCTTTTAAGTACTGATGTGGCACATAAATGAGTCTCATAAGTTCTTGTTTTATCACAAATAGTCATTGAAATTGACTCGTGACATCAACATGGTCTTTGAAATTGACCCACGACCTCAAAATGGTCCATGAAACTGAAAATCGATTAATGTAGTCCCGCAAGTAGGTGTCTCAAATCAATGTAGTTATTCTATCACAATTCTTTCAAAAATTTTGTTATGTGCTGATGTGACTCATAAATGGGTCACACAAAGTCTAATTAAATTTAAAAAAAAATTACAAATAGGTTTAATAATTTATAAAAAAGTTGTCAACCCAAAAACCTAGTCTTGCAATCACTTGCGATCCCAGTCCACATTCCTTAACCTCCCTATATGGTAGCCTTCGTTATCTATTCTCTAGAGAGAAAAAAAAAAAAATCTTAATGCACCTATCTTTACACACTTCAAGCACCCTTCATCAAATTGCACCTGGATTGAGATCACCTTTGGCGACAGCTTTTGTGACATCACCCTTAACATTTAGGCTAACATCCTCACATCCATAATCTTGGATACCTTGTTAGGCACTCCCCTGGTGGTATGGTGACACAGAGAATGGTGAGGTCTGCCTTGAGATAATGAGGTTCTAATCGAGGTGCGTCTATTATTGGTTGAAAACTAATTCCAAACCCCATCTTAGGCCTTGTTAAGCCTTGTACCTTTGAGAATTTATGAAAGAGATCTCTCTTTGGAGTAGGCCCTACTATAAGAAGAAAAAAAAATCGTTGTGCAAAAAGCTACTTAGACAACTTTTTCAATTAATTATTAATTATTAAGCCCACATTAGCACGTAACAATTTTTATTTTTATTTTTATAGAATTGTCACAAAATGATCATATTGATTTGCAACACCAATTTTTCAGGGACCATTTGTGATAAAAACCTATAAATTCTGTAGTGCTCATTTATGTGCCACATCAGCACTTTAACAAAAAATTTAATAGGATTGTAACAGAAGGACCACATTGATTTGCAACACTTATTTCCAGGGACTACATTGATTGATTTTCAATTCCAGAGACCATCTTAATGGTGAGGGTCAATTTGAGGGACAATTTGTGATAAAAACCCAAAAATAAATAATATCAATCTCAACACCTAAACGACAACCATCGAGGACTCCATCACCATAGAACCACCAACAAATGAATGGCAAGAAACACCAGAGAGGGCAGTCATGCGAGAATGGTGGTGTTGCTAGATGTGGCTTTAAGCTTTAGATTTAACCATGCATCCCAAGTTCAATACTTCCTTCTACCTTAATAATAATTTTTTTTTTGTTTGAAAAACCAAGAAAAAACTTTAGATTTCTCCTAATATTTTATGTAGTATCATACCGTGGAACATTTGTACCAAGATGAAGGAACAATAATCTTATATATAAAGCCAACAAGCCCAATGAATAGTTTTTTTTTGTTGTCACAAGCTTCACAAAAATATAAAAAATAAAAAATAAAAAAGAAAAGAACAGAAATGCCCCTCAAACAAAAAACTTCAAAAGCAACTCAAAATAATGCATCAAATGTATCAGGGCTATTATTGAAGACATTAAATGGCTGGCCTTTTCTTTTGAATCTATTTACTGGAATCATATTTTTGGGGAAGCTAATTTTGTAGTTGATGTCATCACTTCGTGTGGGTATGGTTTATAGAATTTTCATGTTTGGGTTGGCTGTGTGCCTCTGGCTGCTTCTGATACCTTGTTATTTGACTCTAGAGGCCTTGGGTGTTCCCTTCCTCTCATAATGTTATTTGTTTCCTCAAAAAACAAAAAAAAAATGTGGTAGGGGTATTTTCGTCATTTTAACATTGTCTTTTAATAATTATTTTTTTTTGTATAGTATTTTTTTTAATTAGTACCTCACAATAGGTTAGTAATAACGTAATTCTACCAGTTGTTCATTAAATATTATTTACTCTATTTTTAAACACTTTTAAAAAATCTTGATAGACTTGTAATGTCGGTTATAAAAAAGGTTTTTCGCACTCGCATAATACTGTGATTAAATTAGTTGTCAAATGATTGTTTTTTTTTAAACGATATTATCTACACTAAGGGGTTTCTTCTAACATGATCTAAGATTATTAATTTACTTCTAATATTTGACTTTCCTTTTGTCAATTCACGCATAAAAATACATTTAAAACGTGTAAGTCGCACATAGCACGCCATGATTCAAAAAATGTCTTCTGCACACGCGTGCATGAAGGCTAGTGTTAAAGAAAAAGAACAATAATACCAATGTGAATCTGTTGCCAATTCAGTATCCATATGTCATACGTGCGTATGAAGGCTAGTATTAAAGAAAAAGAAGAGTAATACCAACGTGAATCTGTTGCCAATTCAGGCCATATGTACTAATTATGCATGTGACCCTAATTTAGCAAGATCCATCACAAATGTACCAACAGAATAACAAAAGAAAACACTTATTTTTCTTAAAAAACTCTACCTGTCAAGACAAATTCTGGTTGTTAGAATAATTAATCCTGTAGAGTCTGCGTGTTATGGCAAATGCAATGTACAAGAGAACTCTCTCTCTGTCTACAATACACACACACACACAGTATATATATATATATATGTATGTGTGTGTATATATATATCTAAACTACATATTAATAGAATTTTTTTTGTTAACAAAAAGATGGTAGAAAGACTATTTAGTCTTCTATCACAACCAAAAAGTTAAGGGCATTAACATAATTTCACAAAGCAAAATTTTGCTATTTTTTGTTTAAGCATAATTTACAGGTGATTTTAACATCTCTAATTAAAAAAAAAAATTAATCCTCTCTCACGTTCTCTCTCACTCTCTTCCTTTCTCCTTCAATTTTAAAACCAAAAATAAAGAATTTTAAAACACTATGTGTGGGCATACACTAGTATATATTAATCAAGGAAATTAAAATGTGCATCTTCCTCTTGCAGGTAATTTAAACTTTACATATATTAATCCAAGATCCATCGCGGGACTCACAATTGTAGGCAGCCAGCTCCCATGGGATGGAGCCGACTCTTAATCAATGGAGCCGACTCTTAATCAAACACATCTCATTACAATAAAACATTACTATTTTTGGTCAAGTGTTATTTTCACTTTAATTTTGCAAGTCATTAACAAGCAACAAAAGCAGCAATTGGCCTCTACCACAGTAGAGAAGAGTGTTGTTTTTGCACTACGGTGTGAGTTCAAATTCTGTCGGCTCCCTAATCTAACATCTAATATAACAAATTTATTGTTTGACAAAAGCCACCTAGTACTATACTATAGTGATATTTCTCTTCACTTGTAAGTGAAATGTCTTAGGTTTAAATCTCGTAGATGACGATTTTAATACCAAATTAAATTGCCCGTTGTGTGACTTATAAGTACGAGTTAAGGTAGTTAGTTCGAACAAAAACCGTGTTTTTACTGAGTTTGGCAAAGTAGTTTAAAATGTTTTTAGATCATGAAATTACTCTTTGAAGGAGCACTTAATTTTTAATTCCAACATGTTTTATATGTAAGATTTTCCGGGTCAAGAACTAACTACAGAACACAATATTTGAATTTTTGATCATTTCAAACCACAACATCAAAAAAGTGAAAAAAGATCATTATAAAGATAGGTTATGGCAGAGAAAGAGAAAGGCGGACCCAACAGTTCGCTTTGCGGAAATAGAAGCACAGTTTCGTCATGTATGTTTTTATACATAAAAAGCAAGAGTCAGTCAAAAGTGTCACAATGAAATAGACGAGTTTCTTTCACCTTTAGCCCCACCATTTAACATTTTCTTCTTTTTTTTTTTTTTTTTTTTTTTTTTATCAAATTTTTCTTTCGATATCGCGTACTATTGAATAGTCCGAAAATTTAGTAGTTAAATATTGCAGATAAATACCATTTACGGTTGGATAATATTAAGCAACAAATTTTAAACCAAATTTATAAATTAAATAACGTGTTATTAATAAGAAATAAGTATATTGATCAATGTTGAAATACTAATTAATTATTAACATCCACATCATTTAGTTTATCAGTTTCGATAATGCTAGGAAAATCAAATTTCTAAACCAAATTTTATAAATCAAATGTTAAGAGAAAGTGTCATTGGCTTTTAAAAATCTCATTTTACATTCTTCACAAATATATTTTTTTTTCCAAATATAGAAAGTTTGGAGTGTAGAATAAGATTTTTGGAGTGGTAATAACAATTATTATGATATGTATGTTAATTATTAGGTTATTATTTAAGTGTTAATTAACGTGTTTATATTTTAAGCATGTGCTATCCACACACCCCATTCTACTTTTCACACACCCCTTAATATTTTTTGTATCCGTTGATTTTCTTCAATTCATCTGATTTCACTGTCAAAAATTAAAAACATATGTAAAAAGTAAAATAGAATGTGTTAATAACATATTCTATTTTTTTTGGTAACATGTCACTTAATTTTAAAATTTAATTAAAAGAGTTATTCTTTCTCTTTACCTTAATGGGCTTCCCCAAAGAACAGTAGTTTCTGTACTACGCCAGCTTTCATTTTCTGATTTCTGTCAGGACCAGGAGAGAGAAGAAAAATAATGTGTGGGTCTCGGCCACACACCACCTCAACGCTCCTCTCTTCTCTTCTCTTCTCTGCTTTGAACTTGAAAAAAAAATAAGGCTGCTTTGCGTCTCGGCGGCGGGTGCATTGGCTCCTCCACTTGGTGATGAGTGTCACTCTTCCAACAGGTTAGTGGGTTTCTCTGGATTTTCGTTTGCTCTATTGGGTTTCGATTATTTCTCAAGTTTTTGCGTTTCTTGATTTGCTTTTCGCATTTGAACATAAAGTTTTTATTTCCTCATGAATCTGATCTAACTTTTTCAAAGATTTCTCTGGTTAGAACTTAATAGATTAATACAGTCGTCTTAATAAAAGGTTTCAATTTTTTTTTCTCTTTTGAGAAAAAAAAAGGAGAGCTGTACAATGGTTTATTTTTGCCACCATTTTGTGAATTTTAAACGTTCATTGACATTAACCAATATCATTCAAGTTTCCACATTTCGTTTGCCTTTTTTTTTTTGTTTTTGTTTTTTGTTTTTGTTTTTGTTTTTGTCTTTGTCTTTGTTAGATTAGCCACCAACGACGGAGTTTGAACTTACGCTATCATGCAAGAGCTCAACATATTTTCACTACTGTGGTTAAGGGCCACTGGTGCCTTATGAGCGCTAGCATGATTCAAGTTGATGCGTTTATGGAAATTCAGCGAGGAGGATTAATGGAAACCGAAATGGGTTAATATGTTGAGCCCAAACTGGATATGATGACCGGTGGATGTGGTCCTTTAGATGGGTGATGATCGAACTGGGGTTGTGAGGGACCGCATTATTCACTTTAGACATAGCTCTAAGACAAATAATCAAAAGATGAACGAATTTATATGCTTTACAGTAACAATTCTGTTGAAAATTTCCCAGCAATAATCGTAACAATTCTACAGACGATATGTTTTCTGGATGGGCAAATTTTCTATTGACAATACTGCAATCTGAGACGTATTAGGTTTGTTTGGAATGGTGTCCTGAATATTATACTTGGTAAGATTGAACTACGGCAAGATATATGCATTTGCAGTTATGCATTATTGAAAGTTGACGCTAAATGAAACCAGTATCACCACAGTTTTTGTGCAACAAGCTATCTTAAAGCTGAACTGGGTGAGGTAGTCGAAGTTTCTCATTTCATGTACTCTGCCAAAGCATACGGAATTTGTAGATTATAACATAACTAGATAAATATGAGGGCCCAGTATGATCTTTTAGGGTATTATGGATACAAAGAGAAATGATAAAATAGATATGTTATTTGACCTTAATATTTCACGGCCAAAATTTGTATCTTGTCGTAAATTATTTTCTGTTCATATTTGCAGGTCTGGACAAGGCTTTTATTGATTCCTGGTTTCACCCTTCAGCATGAAATCAGGACCAAAGGATGGCTGGCACTCTATTATGCCTCTTTGTTTGAGAGGCAAAGCAGCCTCACATTTTTGCATGTTTCCAAATGTGAAGGCAGCAGACTACGTTAAGGGGAGCGCACCTGTCTATCTGAATGTATATGACTTGACACCGGCAAATGGCTATGTCTATTGGGCAGGCCTTGGCATCTTTCACTCCGGCGTAGAAGGTTAGCTACCTTAATCGGTACATATTTTATGATAAATCTATGTTAGTGGTTTCTTTGGAAGAGAGTAGCCCTATAGTCCCTGAAACTGATGTGGTTATGTATGATTCTTGATTGAAAAAGCAATTGTGAATTAATCAATTTAAACTGTTGTCTAACTTTTACTTTGATATTACTCGTATTTAAGCCGGATAAACCTTAATGACAAACTCAACCCAAGCCAATTCAGCTGGATAAAACTTTCCTAAACATCTATTGTGCAATATGCATTTGTTCACCATTATGGCCACTTCAATGACCAACATTTTGTGTAAGAGCGAAACTCTCTAAATTAGTTTGGTCCCGCAGCCTCAGTCCTCTTCAGAAATATTTACCTTACCTCCTCTTCCTTTCGCTAGGATGAATAGCGATGCTCCCTGCTTGGACATATTTAAGGAATTACAATTACTTGAATATAAAATTTCCAAACAATTATTTCCTTTGAAATAATTTTATGCTGCGTCCTGAGTTTTAGGTTTCTCAAGATTATACACGTGCTAATTGATCATGTTTTCATACTTACAGTTCATGGGGTAGAATATGCCTTTGGAGCCCATGAGTACTCATCAAGCGGTGTTTTCGAGGTTGAACCTCGACAATGCCCTGGCTTCAAGTTTAGAAGGTCAATTTTCATTGGCATGACATGCTTGGATCCTTTCCAGGTTAGAGAGTTCATGGAGCATCAATCTGCAATCTACAATGGTGACTCATATCACTTGATTGTCAAGAACTGCAACCATTTCTGTGAAGATATATGTTATAAGCTGACTGGAAAGCGAATACCAAAATGGGTCAATCGACTCGCAAGAATAGGTATATGGCACGTCTTTCTCAACCCCTGTTTCTGTGAAGCTAGACTTGCAATAATTGTATTCATCCCTAGGTATCATGATGGGGACCAAACACTTATATTAATTTCGTGTAGATTTATCTTCCACACATGCAGCTCTTTGAGCGCTACCTTTCATAATTACTCATCTATGCCACGAGGCTCACCTTACTATAGTGAAGAAAATATCTATATGATTTATTGTCGAAGAACACATTAAGTGACGCGTTTTTTCTTCATTTTCTTAAGGATTATGGTCAGTTTGTTCTTAAATCATTTTTTCTGATTCCTTTTAGGTTCTCTGTGCAACTGTATACTCCCAGACACCCTAAAGACGACCACCTGTTCCACATGACCCCAATTTTGAAGGATGCGAAAGTGAAAAAAAGAGACTAAGAAGTGCCTTCACTTGCTTGTCATCAATGTCAATGCCACAGAGGGAAGTATCAATGTCGTCATTGTTTCTACATTCTCACTATAAAGGCTGCCTACCACCATGGGAGTTTAAAAGGTCTAGAAATGGCTCATTGAAGGAAGGTTGATAAAAACTGAAATTCGTCATCATTTTCTACAATGCCGACCAACCATTGGTTTGCCAATACTGAGCTAGCTAGTGAAGGGATGTCACCTTCATCCCTTGTGAGTCCCCGGTTGGGGGGGGGGGGGGGTGGCCGAATATGTTGTTGTTTTGAGATTGAAGTGTTTCTTCTATGCTAACCGGTGTTTGTGAAGTTTTCATGTTGTATTTGTACGATAGTATTGTAAAATCTCCGATGTGCAGTCATATAATCATATCTGTAGGAGAGGGTCCATTTTTATCAAAATACGTTGAGCTTCATGTTCTTGTGAAACAAAATTAGTGTTCAATATTCTTTGCAGCCATGTATTTTCTGTTTCACTAGGTTTCCTGGTGACATCAGCAGAAAAGACACAGGCACCATATCCTTTAAGGGGTCCATCTCGAACGTTCCAGCACCGAATGTGTAACCAATCGGAACAGTTTTCACACCCCCATGGAGATGTTTCGGAAATGGGATGAAAGTTGAAAATTCCTTCATTTTGTTAGAATTTAAACTCCTTCATTCACACACTGAGCTTGCGAGAGAGAGAGCGCTAACACATTCCTAATCAATCATTGTAACTAATGTACGATTAAAAAGCTTATAAGCTAACTAATGAAATCTCCAATAACATAATTACAAGTGTAAATTCAGTGTGGTATTATTTCAACACCTCCCATCAAATCATGCACTGCTTTCACACCGAGCAATCCTCTCAAATAGTTGAACCTGTCTCCTGATAAAGACTTTGTGAAGATGTCAGCAATTTGCTAATTTGTTGGACGTAAATGAGATCGATTGTACCTTGCTGCAAAGCATCCTTTATGAAGTGGTATCTTCTGTCAATGTGCTTGATTTTCTGATAAAAAACTGGGTTCTTAGTGATGGATATAGTTGAGGTGTCATCACAAATCAATGGAGTTGCTTTAGCTTGTAACTCTCCAAATCCTCTAAAACAAATATCAGCCATATAGCTTATGATGTTTGCTTCAGCTGCACTAATGTACTCTGCCTCTTTGGTGGACAAATCTACATCACAGGGAAGCCACACTTCCAAACTGCCAAAAAAGCTAGAGCATAACAGAAATGCTCCTTCAGTTTCATTAGCTGAGCGTTTACTCCATGTACAATCCCATACTCAAATTGGCTAGTTAAGAGCACTTTCAAGAATGATGGACTCCTTTTCTTGAAAATATCATTCAAAGCCTTTGTAGGACATATGTTCAACAGATACACAGATGTGTAAACTGCTTCACCCCAGAGTTGACAAGGCAGGTCCTTCTCATGTAATTCTTCACAAAATGCATTAAACACAATAGAATTGAACTCCCTACTCTATCTATTCTCATCTTTCTCAGTATGTAACCACTTTGCAATTTTACCATTGACTTAAACTTCTTAAACACATTGAAGACTTCTGACTTGACAATTAGAATTGAAGGACAAAGGAAAACATCCATTCCATTTCTGCTGAACTCTCGCAACCAAATTTGTCAATGTTCTATCCTTTGCCCCACAGTAAGTAAGCTTTCAGCAATTCCCCGAGACTAACATCATTTCCCCAATATACCTCTTTCCTTTCATTGTTTCAATCACCAGTGAGCCCTTTCTAATGACATCTACAAGTACTCCAGTGCCTACCTACACTTTAGCTTTAACATTTCGGTTTATATCCACAGCAAATACTCTCTGTAGGTTTTATGATTGTTGCACCCACTGTCTATATACCATACATCACTCTTCTTCTTTTCAACAGTAGAATTACTTGCATAGAACAGATTCATGTCTCTTCAACCTGATTAGCAAAGTTCACCTGCTGTACAGCCTTGTTGAGATTGCAATCTTTGGATATATGCTCAAATTTACTGCACTTGCGACGTTTGGGTTTTCCGCTGTTCCAACACTCTCCATAAATGTAACTTATAACAGATTAAGGTTCCTTAGCAGGGTTATTACCCTGCCATTGTTTCACGGAAGCATTGGTTAAATTCTTTGGATGGTTGCTAGCTCGTCGAAGGCTTCAGACAAGGGATAGGTCCTGCAGATTTATTCCAAATGTCCCCTTGTTACGATGTGGATGAGGACCAAAATCATTTATTTTTATCTTGTCCATTTGCTGAGAGTGTTTGAGTTTGTTTACATGATTTTATTGCTCATGTAGTGATAGATGCAAATGATATTGTAAGCTGGCTTGATCAACTTCCCTCAAGGGATGAAGATAAAATATCTCTCCCAAGTAAAGCCGTTCTTATTTGTTAGCAAATTTGGAGTGAAAGAAATAACATAATATTTAGGAACATAAACCCCAATCCTACAAAAGTCGAATGTGAGCGGCGTTGGTGGATAGAGAGTTTTGTCCATGCTAATAAAAATTTGACAAGATCAGACTTGAATAAAACAAGTTATGATATAAAAGGTCAAAGTTAGAGGAATAACCTTTTTAATGATAGGTGTAAGGTAGATGTAAAATGCCACACTAAAACTATAGCACAAGAGGATAACAAATAAAAAGCAGAGAAATAGATGATGTTACTGATATTTTTCTCTCGTTCTCTTCTTCTTATATTTTATGTAACTTGAAAACATACGGAGTGCTCTATTTATAGAGCAACTCCAAACTGATGCATTAACTGCATATTGAAACTTACGACACTTCCTTTGACAATACAATTTCTATGTATTTACATATTCAGCTTTTACTTTGCATGGGCATTGAAAACTTATGCTCAAAGAATTCTGCTAATGAACAGTGAGCATTCATTACCCACCAGACTTTTCAACAAGTTAATCAAACTGAACCAATTTTTTTGAAAAATCAATTTAGGAAATAATACAATATCAAGGCGGAGGTTAAAGGTTGTGTGATGCTCTGTAAAATCTTCGTTTTAAAAAACTTATTTGGGGTCGCACCCCTCTTGCTTGCGCGACCCAAGCTTTACGTTTCGATTGTGCTAGGAATGGTTGTCTTTGGGACTTTTCCTTTAATGAATTTTCTTGTCTCGATATTTAAAAAAAAAAAAAAGAAAAAAATGAACGAAATTACGAAAAGCCAGTCAACACCTCCTCCGCACTAGTTTTGCGATCTGAGACAGAGTAGCTCGCATATCTTCGCCGCAGTCCCTTCCCAAACCCAACCAACCATGTCGAAGCTCGTCGGCATCCTCGCCTTCCTAACCCTAACCCTCCCATTTCTGGCCCACTCCTTCTCGCCGGACCACCCCACCGACCGCCGCGTTCTCGTTCTGCTTGACGACCTCGCCGTCAAATCCTCCCATTCCTTGTTCTTCAAGTCCCTCCAGTCTCGAGGCTTCGAGCTCGATTTCAAGCTCGCCGATGATCCCAAGATCTCCTTTCAGCGATACGGCCTCTACAGCTACGACGCCTTGATCCTCTTTTCTCCTTCCGTCGATCGTACGTCTCTCGGCTTTGAATTTTTGATTGTTTGTGTTTTTGTGATTTGGGAGAAAGTTGTAGAATTTGCCAACTTCGGTCGATTGAAATGGAGGATCAATTTATTCAGAAATTGTGTTTGTCGTGTATTATAGGTTTTGGAGGATCCATTGATCTGGCTGCTATACTGGATTTCGTGGATAGCGGTCATGATTTGATCATTGCAGCTGATACCCATGCATCTGATTTGATCCGGCAAATCGCAGTTGAGTGCGGAGTTGATTTCGATGAGGTTAGTTCAAGCATCGAAGCATTTTCATTGGTTGCTGCATTGATTATATGTTTTCAAGATTGTCAGAATTTCCTCTGAATTGAATTATGTCCAGTATGCATAATATCCTCTACTACCCGAACCCGAAGAGTAGTGCAAGTACTTATGAATGTAGCCAATTCTAATGAAATTTAATTAAATGGGTGCGCACAAAATTGAACTTCTTTAATAACTGCAGGATCATCATTATATCGTGTTATGAACCGTCACTACATTTGAGCTCTTTATGAATGATCTTTGTAGAGGTTTATTTGGGCATCTTGCCAATTACTAATTCCTATGATTTATTTAATTGCACATCAATACATATACTACATTGATGCGATTGGGAGGTTGAAAAAAATCGTACTTCTTAATGCAAATAGTATATTTTCCAATTGTACAAAGAAAAAATCTTTTGTTTTAAATTCCTTTCCTGAAATTATGGATTCGTGTAAAGCATTTGGGCCGCCACTGTTTAAATAGTTATTCTGGATAGATTTTTTCTGCTCCTCTCACCTCATACAGTATTGTACAAGGCTTAATGACACCCAATATTCATATCCTTCCCTTGAACTCATACAAGTTTATCTAGGTCTTACCTTTTCATCCAGCATTTTGAGCTTGATTAAGGAATTGATGCGTTTGGGTATTTTATTTATTATGGGTACAGGATCCTGCTGCTATGGTCATAGATCACACAAGCTATGCAGTTTCAGACACTGAAGGCGATCATACTGTTATTGCTAGTGATGATTTCATCAAGTCTGATGTAATTTTGGGAAGTGAGAAAATTGAGGCAAGTGCTATTCTGATTTACTATTAGTTGTCCAGTTAAATTGTGTTATATCGTGCTCATGTGTGTATGTCAATTGGTAGTATCACTGTTTAGTTTTTACAGAATATTGTTTCCAACTCAATTAATTTCCTGTATGAACTTCCTCAGGGAATTTCTCTGTCCTTTCCTTTTCATTCTTTTTCCCACAAAAAGAATTGTAATTTGGAGAACGTTTTGAACCTGCTAATTTTCTAAATTTGCCTTTTATTTTTGTATGTTTTTCTCTTCCATCAAGTTATATGTGTCTGGCCAGGCCACAGGTTGTCACATTTTTTCTCAAGCCATTCATTTTTTATGTCCTTGTATCCACTAGTAGCTTAAGCAAATTATTCTCAGAGGAAAGATCAGTGGTTGCACTTTGAGACTGTTCAGTGCACACCACTACTAAATGGTGATGTTAATTGTTGTGTTTCCATTGGTTGTTCTGCCACAGGCTCCTGTACTTTTCCAAGGGATTGGCCATACAGTAAACTCTGAAAATAGCCTGGTAAGAATTTTTAGTTATCCATATTCAATGCACTGCAACAAACAAGAGAATCGACCTTTGTGCCGATTAAAGTCATTCAACTGTGATTGTTCATGGTTTTTCCTTTAAATTTTAAAACCTTCTCTTTTTCATGTCAATATATGAAACATTGTAGGTTTTGAAAGTTCTCTCAGCTTCACCTTCAGCATATTCTTCTAACCCCAAAAGCAAGCTATCAAATCCTCCATCACTCACTGGATCTGCTATATCTTTAGTTTCAGTTGTGCAGGTATGTTAACTATT